CAGACATAAATTGGCGGTATAGGGGCTTTTTTCGTGCTACCGATAAAATTCCGGATATTTATGTCGCGGACTGTACATTAGTTGGAATAGCATTTAGGAATCCGCTATGATATAGAATTTCCAAGGTATTTTTATCCATCTTCGCAACCAAAATTCATACTAAATTTGGTAAAATGGTTGGTTTAATTTGGCCATAGAGATAATCAATTATTATTAACAAAAATACATTACATTCATTACCTCTGATTGATCCTTAGGAAATGGAGTAACTTCTGTACATCCAGCAGCCCTTAGCATTGCACGCCATGCTCGAAGTTCACGTTCATTATGCAAATAATTTGGCGGATATATTTTTTTTAGCATTCCACGTAATTCAATAATTGTACTTTTCTGTGCAAGCCAAATTTGAAATAATTGTCGCCAGTTAATATTACTAAGTGTTCGTTTTCTCAAATTATAATTAAAAATATTATTCATAAGCACTCATTATCCCAAAACATAGGTAAACATGTAGGAATTCGTTGTTCATTGATAGTATTTCGTGTCATTGGATGCTCTAAGCCAAACAATTGTGTTCCACGATATTTTTTATAATATCCTACATTTTGCCACGCTTCTGTTGGAGTAGAACCAAAAAAAAATATTGTCTCATGATCCTTTTGATGTATTGAAATTTCACAATTGTCAGGTTGAATTTTTTGAACATATAGAGCTCGTTTTCTCTTGTATTCACCAGTAAATGATGCAATATAATTTTTTATTGTTTTTTTTTGTCCACAAATGCTAATATTTGTAATATAAATCATAATATCATCAACCTTAACAGCAAATGCCCGAAAAGGAATATTTTCCAGTGAAGCTTCCAATAATTCATTATTGACCCAACCTAAAACTAGTGGTCCAGAAAATTTCGTCTTTGAATTAGAAAAAATTCGCTGGTATAAACTCGTTATCACATAACTTGGCGCTGTTTCAACATCACTAAATTTACTGCCAGACTGGCACCTATATCCTGGCAGTATCTCACTATTTTCATTTCCCTCTGTTATATGCATAAAAAAGTATCTATTATTTTGTTCTATAACAGTTTCCCAGCCTACACGAATAGGATAAAGAAATACGCCTTCTTCTAGTTTGCTGTCGCCTCTCATAATCCACCATTCTCTTGAGTTCACTCCATAATGCAATCGGGGCACTATTTGGCCAATAGAAACTAGTTTTACGTCAAGTTTAGGTTGTTTATTCATGTTTACATGTTTAGATTGAGAACGGTTTCAGATTCTTGGTATTAACAAATTTTATTATTACTATTATCCCCACCGATCATTATATAAACGTGATGTCGATCTTTCCGTTTCTCGCAAATTGCGAATTAAAGGCTTTTCATCATGCGAGGGAAATTTATCGATGGCCGTCATCGCTTAGCTCATTGACTCTCTTATCGAATCTGATATAAACAAAAATAATGATG